ATTGAACAGGACTTTTTCTAAAAGCATAAGGAAGGAAGATCTTCCTTATGTATGTCTGTTATGGGAAGGGTTTCTGCCAGTGAGGCTAACCAGATTGGTAAAGAAGCATGCCCAGAATTTGTGGAAAAACATGCAGCCTTGGCTGCCTTGACTCCCCCTCATTCTGTGATGATAGATTCGTTTTCGAAGATTGCCAGGGGAAATTCTGATTGTGCCACATTTGATGTAAGGATGAAAGAAAAAGAGAAAATAGAAGTATTGGGTCATTCGTGTACAGCTGCAAGGTATGGTACAAGTGACTATTTAAAAAATAAAAATACCCCAGGATGGTAAAGCCCCCTGTCTCCCCTCAACCCAAGGTTTGGGTTTATGGCTTAAGTAGTTGCATATTATCTTTTTTATAATCTATGTTCTAAACAAGATGATTTGTAGTGTATTTATGCATGTGTATGTATGTTTAGGGACGTAGGGACACGGTGGCTCAGTGACTAAGACGCTGAGCTTGTCAATCAAAAGGTCAGCATTTCGATGGTTTGAATCCCTAGTGCCATGTAACGGAGTGAGTGCCCGTTACTTGTCACAGCTTCTGCCAATCGAGCAGTTTGAAAGCACATAAAAATGCAAGTAGAAAAATAGGAACCACCTTTGATGGGAAGGTAACAACGTTCCATGCGCCTTCAACATTAAGTCATGCTGACCACATGACCACAGAGACGTCTTCAGACAGCGCTGGTTCTTTGGCTTGGAAACGGAGATGAGCACCGCCCCTAGAGTCAGGAACAACTAGCACTATTGCATTATTGGACATTGTGTTATCTTTTTAAAAAAAATTTTTTTTTCTATCGATGGAAGTTTTGTGAACATTTTTTACTTTTTAAAGTGAAAGTTTTGGATTTTCTTTTTCTATTTCTTTTTTTAACCTATGGATTAAATCTTTTCCTTTATTTCTACAATACTGGTTGGGATGGATTTTTTTCTTTTTATTTTGTTTCATTTAAGAACTTTGTTTCTTCTAAGCCTGGAANCCACTAATTTTTCATTACTGGGAGCTGATGATTTTTGCCCATGTTCCAAGAAATCATTCTGGCAACTGTGTTTCTGTCACTGTCTATAATCAAATTGTGCAATCTTCATGCACAGGCTGAATATATGATCTACTGTTTCTTCTTCTACGCACGATCTACACTTTGAATTATTCGATGATTTTTCAATTCTGACATTTATTGCAGGAGTTCAAATAACTTGCTCATGCATAGCCAAAATCAAGCCTTAAGTTTCTTTTAAAAAAATATTCCAGTTGTTAACCATTACCAGGTTTTATCTTTATCCACTTTTCCCTCAATCTTTTGTAGAAATTGAGGATGTAATGCTTTTCCTTGCCAGCATTCTGCTTATGTTGTTTATTATATTATTTTCAATATTCGTATTTTATTTCCCATACATTTGGTAAGTTTCCAATTTTTAACTTTTCACCTTTACATAATCAGTAAATGCATGCTTTTCTTCTTCAACGGTTTCTTTGACTTGAAGTAAATTTCTACCTCCATTTTTGTTGGGCTGATATAAACTATCAATATCATATGAGAATATAATGCATAGTGAATGACCATTACTGTATTTCTCTGGTTAATTGTACAGTCAACCAGATGTTGCTACTGCATTTTGCATTGTTATTTATCTATTGAATTCTTCCCCATTACTTCCCACCTTCATTTTGTCCTATTCAAGGTGATATATGTAATGCTTCTACATTCTATTAATTCCACAACAATTACCTTGAGAAGACAGTTGGATTGAAAGGGAGTGACTGGTCCAAAGTCACTTAGAAGACTTTATGCCTGGAGTAGGACTAGAACTCACAGTCTTCTCATTTTAAAATTAGCATCTGGTTTCTAGTCTAGATTAATACTCAAGTGTCACTGATTTTTATTTTTATTTTAAAATAAATGCAATTATTATTTTTGTTATTATAAAGGAAGTGCTGAAGACATTAAAATGAATGATTATTATTTATCTCTGCTCACTTTAAAATGTTGGTAATGATTCTCCAATGAGCTGAATGTACCACTATATATATCTCATCAGCCTTGTATTGTATGTGTGGTTAATCCTAAATTTAATACAGTTAAAAACTCAGGTATTTCTATAAGCGACAATTTAAATTATTCCATAATATATTAATACACTTCAAGCAACAGAAACATTTGGATTTGAATACAAATACTACAGAAGACATCCACATAGGTTTCTCTTCTGACCCCCCTCGTTCCACACCAAAGCACTCCAAGCCAAAGATACTTTACGGAATTTATTAATAGACA